ATGTAAAGCTTAAGTCTTAAATTTTGTGGCTAGATGTTGAACTTAACGTTTAAGTATTTTGGAATGAAATGCAGCCTATTAGAGCCACATTTTGAACTTTGTATTTATTTTTGATTTGGTATAATATCCAAAGATCACAGTGCGTGGCATTATATACAGTTTAAAAGGAGTCACAGTTAATTACTCAGCAGGTGTGCTGAATACGGTGGAAAACACACCGTTTTTTGACCGTTGTCGTTGTCTTTGCTTTTTGATCAGTCATGTTCTGTTAACATTCTGCAAYGTTAAGTATCACAAGTTGTTGGAGAGGACAACAAGCAAATAWATGCTCTTTAACTGTGATCAAAGGCAAGCGTTCAATCATYGGATCAAGGACAACAAAYRYGTCAACTAAGTGCCGGTCAGCAGCCCCTTAGTGCCTTAGGTTCATTTTTATTTTTTGCCAAGAACAAGTCACTATACAGCCTTWGTTTGTTGGTGCTTGGCTCTTGTTAGGACGTCATCATCCTGAGACACATTTAACAAGTTTTCTCCAACTGCAGCCACAGCTGTGCCACATACATTTAACAACAACAGCAACAACAACATCAATACGGACATAATAAACTGGCAACTAAATAAAACACTTAAATGTATGTTCTGTTGTATTTTCGCCATAAATTTCAAATAAATTTTAATTTTCTGTAACGCTKAGAATGTCCACTAGGCATTTAGCTTGTGAGACGCAACCAAAATCCAGTTTCCCGGTTCAGAATCGTGTGCTCTCTGATCAGCCAATCAAACAACGTGAGAACGTTGATGTTGTCTGAGGCCAGCTAGCAGGCTCTGCTGTCTTCACCTCAGCACCTGACTGGTCAAAACAACAGTATCACTGCTGTTTGTTTCACCCTCCACATGCCTTCGCTGTTCGTTCTGAAGGCCTTAGATTTCAGGAGCCTAGTAACAGATGATGCTCAAAATATGGTTGGACAAAAACTAAATAAATACAACCTAAGAGAAAAGATCTTTAAAAAAAGAATAATAGTCTATTAATAACAATATTAATAATAATAAATATGATTTTTTTATAAAGATGTTTTCTTTATAAAGATGTTAATGAAGAATGGAGACCTGGTGTGGACCTGCAGAATCCAGAGCCCCTCCACATCAAAGAGGAGGAGGAGCAACCCTGCACCAGTCTGAAAGAAGAGCAGCTCAGTGTGAAAGAGGAGGCTGATGACACCAGGGCTCCCTCCACCGCAGTTCCTTTGAAGACTGATGATGGTGATGAAGAGAAACTGTTCCCACAGCTTCATCAACACCAAGTGGAAGAAAGAGATACTCCCATCAGCAGCTCAGTGGTCCAGATGGAATCAGYGACTGATGAAGAAGATGATGAAGGAACAGTAACCAGCATGACCTCACRTCTGAATACAGATGAAGACRATTCCAACTCTTCRGARACTGCAGTCAATAAGGTCCAGGTCCAGACAATAGGGARAGCATTCAGATGTGATGAATGTGGCAAAAGTTTTTAATCAGTAAATCAAGTCTAAACAGCCAGAAAACAAGCCTAAACAAACACGAGGATCCACACAGRAGAGAAACCATTTGCTTGYTGCTACCTGCTCGACGTGAGGATCATGGASAGTTCTTGAACTCCTGTGGACCCCGAGCCGAATGGGTCCCCAGCTAAGCTGCCCATCTCTGAGACATGCCCTGTCTACATCTGAGTGAGATGTTAGACCTTACACAAAGGTTCACAGATTAATCCTGGGTAACAGCCAAGGCAAACGTTATACCTCTTCCTTCTGCAGTACTAAATTATTAATAAACAATCTGACCAAGACCTTAACACCTTGTTTCCAAATTGACAAAACTTATAGGTTTTACCTGGGTCTCTTGTCAATTAATTAATAGAATAAAAATATTTCCTTTGGGAAAAATATATTTTCATTCTATAAATTTGTAAACATCCAGACCTTAACTTATACATATGACATTTTCATCTTTAACTGTTTAGAAACCTTGCATTTATGCTATTTTAACTGTTTTTATTCATGATTCAATGGAATTGATTCTTGCCATATTTTTGTAATAAATTACCATAAAAGACAAAGCTGGTTCCTCATTTTTGAGTATTTTGGCCTGAGGTAAGAATTCCCTGCTTATCATAGGAATCTCATACTTTGGTAAATATGAGTCTRATTGAAAAGAGTGGATAAATTGTGGTCAATAACTTGACCTTGGCAAAAGTGTTGTGCAGGACAGAAACAGTTTGTCACCCTTTCTCTTTCTCTCCTACCAACTCACTACATATGCTTCCCTCCAAATTATGTGACGACTAAAACTGTCAATGYAGCCATTAATTGCAATATGGCKTCAGTTGTTTGTTTGCACAAAAAGTCCATCTACTGACAATTTGATGCAGATGTGCAAAAAGTGTTTATTTTAACCAAGTCTTCAGGTTGAAGTGTTAATTCTTTAGAGATAATACACTTAATATATCTACATCAATCACTATAGAACAGTAAAATAAAGGTTTAGTGAATCCAATTTACATAAGGTTGAACAGAAGTTTTTACTGCAACACATCTGTTAGCAATAAACTCACGTACTATATCATTTGATACACTTTTGAATAAGC